ACTACAATAAGTCTTTACTAGGTCTCACACGGTATACTAACAACAATAAGTCTTAACTAGGTTCTACACGATGTCACTGACTACACTAAATTTTAACTAGCTCTCACACGGAATGCTCAGCGTCAACTGTTTCTCACTATATCTTATTCCGAAAACTGACGTAATAACAGTTAGTAGGGACCGCACCGTGGCCAAGTAGTTCTAGTATACAGTAGGTATCGGTCGCCGGTTGGAGTCCCATGGCCGACCACTGATAGGGCGTCCCCAGTCGACCGAGGTGTAGATTGGGTACCTACTTTATAGTTTGCGAAGTTGAAGACGAAAGATGGTTGTTCACAATGCTTCACCGTATACAGAAGGATTATTCTTCAGCCGTTATATCCATACTAGACCTGTAATCCGTTATCTCTATTGAACAATCAAATATTTCTACATTTTAGAGGTTGAATATCTCTGTCAGGCAACCACATATTTCTACATTTTAGAGGCTGAATTGTATACATGGATGTGCATGTATATTTATCTAATAATTTTGTGGTATTGACTCCTCATTGTCTCTGATATCTTTATCGTCTGAACACATCTGGGTGAACTTGTCTGTCTTACGTGGCTGCTTACATACAGGGTACACGTTTATATAATTCATCAATAACCAGCCAATCATCTGACTTAGCATACGTCGTTATATATATATGGTGCCGAGACCAATGGGGATCCTCTTGAAATATGGTGAAATTTGCAAACGTCTACATCTTGACAGCCAGTGATGATGATGGCGCATCAAGTTTGGCGTGTGGGAGCTGCGAGGCATCTCCTTAGCTTCAGGTAGAGATGAATTATAAGTCCTGTTAAAATCGAGAACCATAAGTCCGAGATGCACCAATTTCTATTTTCATCTGTGACTTAAATCTTCATCGTTCATTCTTCGTCATTTCCGCCAATACATCACTCGTAAAGGTAAACAATATCATTATCTCGTTGTCTGCCGGGTACAGACTAACTAACATCATAATCATAATTATGGCTGAATATGTGACCAATACGGCTTACGAAAAACTGTATGTAAGGTGTTTATACAGCGCCAACCTCATTATTAGCCGCGTTACTAAAGGTACACAAACCTGACTTATAGCTTGGGATTGTGTACTGTACTGTACTCTGAAGCACTCACGAAGCAGCTGTGTAAAACCCGTTATAATCTCAGCAGACTTATCATATGATTCTCTGTTGTTGTTGTTTTTTGTACAGGAAACTATTGTACTGTATATATAAAAAGAGTTTCAGTGAAGTGCTACCAGAAAATAAATCTAAATCTATCAGGTTATATGAACTTTGGGTAAGGTCCTATATAAGATGTAGGGGATTATTTTACAGTAATTTAATAGTTTTATTTATTCTAGTATAAACGAGAGCTTGTCGAGTGATTCACATGTAACTACTGAATTTCAACAAGTAGAATATTTTTAATGTAATTTAACTGAGAATAAACTCTAAATCTTCATTCATGTTTTAAATTACAACTAGAAAATTATATCAAATACAACTCACAGCTAAGGATTAACTATAGCAACAGTTAAACAAAGTATTACACTGGTCATAATTTTCTTGCTGATATACAGTGAAAGATTTAAGTCTACATGTGGAGGATTATCTCATCGGCTCCTCCAACACCAGCCTCAGGTTAAGCTCTCTCACCGCCTTAAAATACTACATCTAATGATCCTAATATATCACAATACAGTACTGAATATCAGCCTTTTAACAAATGATCCAACACTAAATTTCACCGAACCCACTGATGGCTTCATGTGGTTAGTTTGGTATTTAATCGCCTTTAAAATAATCTGTACAAATAGCTGAACAGATTATTCCTCATAATTATGGATCAAATAATTTTTTTTTTGAAAATCGAAGAAAAAAATCCCCGTACCAATGCACTAATAATACCTTAAGCATCATAATTCTGGCATCAACACTCCCCATACCTGATTTGAGAAAAATTATTTCGCCGGTTTCTGAGATCTTGAACTTAC